ACAGATATTATTAAAATAGTTAGGTTGCTGTTGTCTAGTTGAGTAGTCAATGTTCAGTTGTGGGGTTTTTTTTCATTGTGTTTTTGAGACTTTCTTCATATATGGCTTTTATGAAAGGCAACGTGCATTAATACCCGATTTTTCCTAACAAGTCCGTAGAACTATTGTCAGGCTTGCTGTCTCTGATCGTAAGAGGTAAAGAAACTTTCTGATGAATTGTAGGTAGTGAAGCAGTGTGTTCATTCATGAATAAAATATTTATCTTTGCTAGCTAGACTTATCAACAGTAAAATATCACAGAGATTGCTTTAACCAATGTATAAAGGCCCATATACCCCTCACCAGTTTCTACCAATTGTGGGCCTTTATTACCAAATATTTTGACAATGGTTTGTCTGGGTTCCTTGAATACCTTTGATTTAGCTGCTCTGTACCAACTACATATTGAATGTCACAAAAATTTTACTTTGATGATGTTAAGAGATATAGTGGTTTATTGTTAAATCGGGGAGAAGAATAAGGGGCTTACTTGAAGGTAGCATGGACTTCAAATGAAAGATCACCTTTCATTTTATGGACTAAGGCACTATATTAACATCATATTCTATATTGATACTACTGTCCCTGATGTGTAAATTGGTCAGTAGTGCCTCAGCTCTAATATGGTTAGTCACAGTAATCTCTGTCATTTCATAGTCATAGTTGTTGTTTTTTAATTTTTAATAAAATTATATAGGTTTCAAGAGTACAATTCTATAATATTTCATCTGTATATTGTAGTATGTGTTCACCACCCAAAGGCAAGTCTCCTTCTGTCACCATTTATCCCCCCTTTATCCTTTTCTACCCTCTCCACCTCCCTTATCTCTGTCCTAATTACCATAAGGTTGCCTGTGTTTATGAGGGTTGTTTGTTGTTGTTGTTTGTTTAATCCTTTCACATTTTTCACCCAGTCCCCCAACTCCTCTCTCTTCTGAAAGTTGTCAGTCTGTTCTCTGTATCTATAAGTCTGTTTCTATTTTGTTAGTTTATTTTGTCCATTAGATTCCATGTATAAGTGAAGTCATATGGTATATGTCTTTCTCTGACTGGCTTATTTCACTTAACATAATACTCTCCAGGTGCATCCAAGCTGTCACAAAAGGTAAGGTTTCCTTCTTTTTTATGGGCAAGTAGTTTTCCATTGTATATATGGACTACAGCTTTTTTATCCAGCCATCTACTGATGGGCATTTGGGCTGCATCCAAATCTTGGCTATTGTAAATAATGCTGCAATGAACATAGGGGTGCATATATTCTTTTGAATTAGTGTTTAGGGTTTCTTCAGATATATTCCTAGAAGTAAAATCAATGGGTTATAAGGCAGCTTCATTTTTAATTTTTTGAGGAAACTCCATACTGTTTTCCACAGTGGCTGTACCAGTCTGCATTTCCACCAACAGTACATGATCGTTCCTTTTTCTCCATATCTTTGCCAACACTTCTTGTTTGTGGATTTATTGACGATATCCCATTGTGGTTTTAATTTGCTTTTCTCTGATAATTAGTGACATTGAGCATCTTTTCATATGTCTCTTGGTCATCTGTATGTCCTCTTTGGAGAAGTGTCTATTTAAGTCCTTTACCATTTTTCAATTGGATTGTTTGGGTTTTGGGTGTTGAGTTGTATAAGCTCTTTATAAATTTTGGATATTAAGCCCTTATCAGATGTATCATTTGGGGAACATGTTCTTTTGTCTTTTTATCTTCTTGATGGTTTCCTTGGCTGTGCAAAACTATTTTAGTTTGATGTAGTCCCATTTGTTTATATTTTCTTTTGTTTCTGTTGCTCAAGGAGATATATCAGAAAAAATATTGTATGAGAAATGTCTGAGATTTTACAGCCTATATTTTCTTTTGGGATTTTTATGGTTTTGAGTCTCAAATTTTTAAGTCTTTATTCCATTTTGAGTTTATTCTTGTGTATGGTGTAAGAAGATGACCTAGTTTTATTTATTTTGCATGTATCAGTCCAGTTTTCTCAACACCATTTATTGAATAGACTGTCTTTACCCTATTGTATATTTTTGTTTCCTTTGTCAAATATTAATTGACCATAAAGGTGTGGGTTTATTTCTGGGCTCTCTATTCTGTTCCATTGATCTATATGTCTGTTTTTATGCCAATACCATGTTGGATGTGTTTTTTTAAGATTTTTTTTATTGGTTTTTGGAGAGAGAGGAAAGGAGAAGGACAGAGAGATAAAAACATCAATGTGCACCTATTGACTACCTCCTGCACACTCCTTACCGGGGATCCAGCCCACAATCCAGGCATGTGCCCTGACTAGAAATTGAAGTGGCAACCTTTCAATGCACAGGATGATGCCCAACCAACAGTCACACAGGCCAGGGCTGTACCATGCTGTTTTGATTACTATGGCCTTATAGTATAGTTTGATATCAAGTAGCATGATTCCTTCAATTTGTTCTTCTTTCTCAAGATTGCTGTGGCTACTTGGGGTCTTCTGTGATTCCATATAAATTTTTGGAATATTTGTTCTAGTTCTGTGAAATATTTCATTTGTACCTTGATAGGGATTGCGTTGAATCTATAGATTACTTTGAGTATGGGCATTTTAATGATGATAATTCTTCCTATCCATGAGTATGGTATATGCTTCCACTTATTTGTATATTTTTCAATTCCTCTCTTCAGTGTATTATAATTTTTTGAGTACAGGTCTTTTACATTCTTGGTTAAATTTATTCCTAGGTATTTTATTTTTGTTTTTTGATGCAATTGTAAATGGGATTGTTTTCTTAGTTTCCCTTTCTGATAGCTCATTATTGATGTATAAAAATGCAACTGATTTCTGGATATTTATTTTGTGTCCTGCTATTTTATAGAATTCATTTATCAGTTTTAGTAGTTATTGGTGAAATATTTAAGGTTCTCTACATACAGTATCATGTCATCTGCAAACAATTACAGTTTTACTTCTTCCTTTTCAGAGATTTCATATTTAAATGTTAGATTTCTACTTTGGCGAAATCTTATCATATCAACAGATGTCGAAATGAGGGATTCCCTTTGGTGTTTGGTCTTCTACTTAGGAAATACCAATTGAGTTTATCTTTGTATTCTGGAGGGCATGGGGTTTGAATTAATTGACATACATAGAGGGGAACCTAACTTCTTGATCCAGCATGAATTATAAAATTGATGATAAACATGGTTGTTCTTCATTGTGCAGTTGTTAGCATTATGAAAGATTCATTGTTCTCCTATTCAGCTCTTCAATAGTGTGACCATATTTCCACCTCTCCTTTCTATCCTTCCCTCTGCTCCAAGAATAAATAAAATGGTTATTTTTTTGTTGTGCATTCAATTTCTATATTAAATAAGACCAAGTGCAGACACTGTACCAGGAATTTCTAGGTTTTTACCTGTATTTCAATTAAAATGCTAGTGTTTACAAGCAGTTTCAAGGGATTATACCATCTTTACTTTGTTTATTTAAAGGATCAGTGGTAGAAGGAGTGAAGTAAATTCCATAGAATACATTTTTGAAACAGCATATCTCCGAAGTCATAAATTGATTCAGATTCTAACCCTTTGCTATACTCAAGGACATGAAAATGCAACTTTTATATAAATGAGAAAAGACTGTATGCTAATTGAACATGCTTTTTAAACCCTTTAAGAATACTCAGCATATGCCCAGCCGGTGTGGCTCAGCGGTTGAGCATCGACCTATGATCCAGGAGATCTTGGTCCCATTCCCAGTCAGGGCAAATACCCGGGTTGCGGGCTCGATCCCTAGCAGGGGGCCTGCTGGAGGCAGTTGATCAATGACAACTCTTACATCATTGATGTTTCTATCTCTCTCTCCTTCTCCCTTCCTCTCTCTCTGAAATCAATAACAAATGTATTTTTTAAAATGCTCAGCATATTTTCTAAAAAGATAAATTACATAAAACCTCATTACAGATCAACAGGTGAACATATGCAATAAATTTTGATAGAAATTCCTAACTTTGAACCCCAAGTAAGCAAAATGTTATTCTCCCAAAAGAATTCTTCTCTTCTCATAAAAAATTATATGCAATTAGTATTATATTTTGTTTCAACAATTAAATATTTGTGGAAACTTGTTTCTTCTCTTGTTAAATGAGTATCTACATAGCGTTTTCAAATGTACTTCTGAGTTACCAAACCCCCTTTTCATCTCATGGCACACACAGACTAATTACTTAAATTTGGTGGCACACCCAAAAATATATTTATTGCTGATCTTACCAAAAAAATAGGTGTAATTTTGATTCATTCATACTGGCAGCTAGTGGTGTGTTGGCTGTTGTCATTTTTTATTTATTTATTTATTTTTTGACCATCTAAGGGGAAAGAAGTCAATGTCCTTGACTAGTCAGATATTGCATGTTTTACAAATTCTTGTGACACACGGGTTGAAAATTGCTGCTTTACAAAATAAGTGTCACCTACCCAGGGTGACTCCTATAGGAACTACTATAGTTTTTTAGACGATCTTAAAGTTGAAAGAGCAGGACCTATGTGGATCTACAGGTAGCTCAGGACCCTAAGGCCTCGAAGAAAAGAGAGGTGACTGTGAGCCTCTAGAACCTAAGGGCCTTTGCCATGCATTGGACACACGGCATGTCAATCCTCGCTTCTCAGCCAATGAGCTTGAAGCTTGTGAAGAGCAGGCACAGCCCTTTGTTGACTCTTCTATCCCCGCCCCCGGCGTCCTGTCCCGCCCCGTCCATGGCGGTCTGGTGAAGCCTTGGTGAGTGGTCCCTGACATCTGCCCCCTGTCCTTCTGGTGGTGGGCCCTCTTCAGGCACCACCAAAGACTTTTGTCCCCTCGAAAGCGAGCACCTCTGCCGCCCCGCCCACCTCATGTGGGGCCCAACTGTCAAAAGCCTGCTTTCCTTCGCCACCATCTTGGCCTTCGACGCCACAGCCTGTTCGCTGAGTGGTTGAGGTACTAGCTGGTGCCATGTCTGACTCGGATGATGGAAACCCGGCCCCAGGTGGCCCGGAGAGTCCCGAGGGCGAGGTGGGAGCCTGGGTCAGGGCAGCTGGAGCTGAGGATGCTGTGATCTTCCACTCGGGGCCCCAGGGGGGCGGGGATGCCGCAGCCTGGGCGGTGGGAGTCTCAGGAGCTGTGGGAAGCCTGGGGGAGGAGGCCGGGGCAGTGGGAGCCCTGGAGGGCAGCAACAGTGAGGAAGATTCCGACATCTGGCTGGCCGACGACGGGGAGGAGAACATGGAGCGGGGCCCGGACATGGTGATGGATCCCAATCAGTTACCTTTGGCGGGCTTCAATATCATGTTCCTGGACCTAGTGCGCACAATGCTGCACCGCCTGTACCACAACGACCACATCCTCATTCGTCCCTGCGGGGGCCACAGTATCATCCTGCCCAGACCTCAGGTGGCTGGCCAGGCGGCCCAGATCCGCGTGCTCTCGGTGCCCGAGGCCTCCGGAGAGGGGGCTGTAGCTATGCTGCCCGCGGGCCCCGGAGACGGAGCCGTGGGCTCTGGAGAGGGGTCTCTGGCCTTCCCAGAGCCCGAGGATAAGGCCGAGGCCGCAGTGGAGGAGGAGTCTGCCGCTGGGGAGAAGGCGGAGGAGGTGGAGGAGGAGGANCCTCCCAGAGCCTGAGGGCCAGGCCACAGTCCAGGAGCAGTCTGCTGCTGGGGAGATGGCAGAGGAGGCAGAGATGGCGGAGATGGCGGAGATGGCGGAGGAGCCTTTGCAGGAGGCCGAAGCCCCTGAAGGTGAGGAGGGTGAGGATCGGGCAGAGTGGGGACCAGGGCCGGGGGGCTCCATGGCGGGCGGGCAGCCTCCCAGCAGGCTGCGGCTGGGTGCAGCTGGCGCCCTGGCCCGTCAAGCTCACTCGGGTGGGTCGGGCCCTCAACACGCTGCAGGCCGATTGGGCCCACGGAGAAGCCCGACTCCATACCGACCTTCCCCGCCTAGAAAATAGGACGTTGCCCTCTCCCGACCTCTGCTAAGAGATTTGAGCTCGTCCGTGCAGTTCGTGGCCCACAGACGAATGCCCTTGGGTCCCAGGGGGCAGGTGTTCAGGAGCGAACCGGGAGGACAGGGGAGGGGAACCTGAGGTAAAAAAACAAGCAGATGGAATACCTCGTGCTTCGTTCATGGCTTCTGAAAGTCACCATAGAATTTGTCGCTGAGGCAAAAATATTTTCCCAGTAAAGCTGTGACCAGGACGCACAGAATGCCCCAGACCCGGGTGACTCTGATCCCTGCTTCTCTGAAAGGCCAGAAGTCAGCATCAGCACAGGTTTACCACAGAGAAATAATGTCACTGTGCAAACGATCAAGCAGCAGACATGTGAGGGCCATGAGAGTGTTGTAGCAACTAGGAGGAAGCTGCCTAACTTTTCCCAGTTACTTCCCTCCTCCTGCTTCTCCTGAGGGCGGAGCACTGTACGTCCCCATTCGTTATGAACTGGGATTTTCTTTTGTGAGGGTCTGATCCCAAAGTCTGTCTTATTCACCACTAAAGAAACAACTGAGGAAGAGGCCCAGGGTGCTGAAAGTAAGGAAGAAAAAGAGTTTAACAAAAACCAAGAAGGACCTGAAAAGGATGAGGACCCAGCAGAGAGCAGATCCGGAGAATCCAGGTATCTGTGTGTAGCTTTGAATATCACCCAGCCATTCCAGGCATGGACCTGTTACTCACAGCATTACTGGTTTTTAATTCTCCCAGTAAATTAAGAAAAAAGTTTAAAATTAGTTTTAAAATTCAATGTTATCTACTTAGACTGTTAATACAATACTAATACACCTAGTAATACAAAACACATTATGTACTGAAATATACTTCATGGCTTTTCATTTGTTCTTATGAGGTCTTCCGTCCTCTACCTGTAAAGGCTACTGACAAATGGAAAATGTCTCAGTACCCAAGGCCAATATTTGTTTAGAAAACAGTTACTAGATACAGCAGCTAAAGTAGCTGTGCTATGTACTAGTTAGTTGGGCCTTCATTGCTTGGCCACAGAAATGCAGTCTGATTATTATGCTAAGTGAAATAAGCCAGTTAGAGAAAGACAAATACCACATGATCTCACTGTGAGGTGCAATCTAATGAACAAAATAAACTGACAAACAGAATAGAAACAGAGGCATGGATACATGGAACAGACTGACGGCTGTCAGAGGGGAGGGGAGAAGGGAGAACTGGATGAAAGAAAGTGAAGGGATTATCCAAAGAACATATATGCATAACCCATAGACACAGAAAACAGGTGGTGATGGCCAGAGGGAAGGGGGGCAAGGGCTGCGTGGAGGTGGGCAAAAGGGGGAGGGGGTGAGGACATCTGTAATACTGTCAACAACAAAAAGAAAGTTAAAAAAAGAAACCAGTCTCCTATACTAACTAGGAGACAAGGACTACTTACAAATAGCAAAAAGTTAACAATTTCTTTTTTTTTAATTTTATCTTTATTGTTGAAGGTATTACAGATGTCCACTTTTTTCCCATTGACCCCCTCCACCCTGCTCCCACCCCCTCCCCAAACTTAACAATTTCAAGTAGGACCATATCTAATGATTAATACTTAAACGTTTGGTTGTAGATTTTTGTAATTTATGTGACAATCAAAAGAAATGAAATGTAGTCATAGCATGATTATTGTTTATCACTGAATGGGTAATTAAGTCTCAAGGTTTACCTTTGGTATATTTAAATGATTAAATTTTCTCTCTTTTTGCACTTTCACAACTGTGTATTTCATAACAGCCTCTCATATGGGAGATATGGAAACTGAGGGTCTGGGAGGGACAGGGAATGTCACTTGTGGAATGACCACAGGCTTTTAAGGTGAAGAGATTTATTTAAATCCCAGAATGGCCTCTCAAAATGAATGAAAGCATTTATGGCATTAGGCAAGAGGGAGACGAGGTTGGTATGATCATGATTGAAGCCATGGGGTACAGTAGCACCCTATGTCCAAAAGTGCAGGTTACAATTAGTGGATATTTGTTCCTGCCCCAACTGTCCATGGAGACATTTGGACCAAGCCAAAACGTTCTTGTTATTTAAATTCCGCTCTTCTGAAGATTGGAGCCCTGAACCATCTACCTAACCCCATGTGCCATTACCAGCTAGACTACCAAGGCAAGAAGGGTTACTATGGACAATACGGCCACAATACAATTATTGGACCCATAAAACATGATGGTATATTTTTTTTATGTATTAATCCTGTAGACCAGAAGTGTAAATAAACATTATGGACTACTTGAACCCAAGATGTTTTCTAAGCTTGGACATTCTGGACAGGACCAAATATCAAGGACCTTTTAGTGTGGACCAAATGCCTCAAAGGATCTCTTGCAAAGAACCAAATGACCTGCAAGGCAGGTTACAAGAAGGAAACATGTTGTTCTTCTCTACTTGTTGAGATATAGCACACAAGTGCAGCAGATAGGCATAGGGCTGACTTTTCTTAAATTTAGAAAGTCACTGGAGCTGGTTAAAGCCTTGAAAGTGTTAATTTTCTCTCATTTTATCCTGCAGTTTGGAGAACTAGAAAGAAGATGGACGAAGAATTTGTTCACTCTTTTTAGGTTTTTCATTTTCAGAAGTCCATGTTAATTGTATTAAACACTGATATCATTCCAAAGTGTACCCAAAAATTGCTATCCAGTGATATCTTTTATTTCTTATAGCTATATTTTACAGCATTTGTGTTAGTTTAAAATAAGCTTGTTTTAATTAATAAGCTGAAATACAGGCAGAGTTTACTTAGATAAATAATCCTTACTCAAATCTCTCTCATACCTCTTTGTTTTGAAAGGTTTCACTATCCACCACTTTGTAAGCCTGTTTTAAATTATCTTATGGCAACCCCAAAATAAATTCAAATGTCGATTGAAAAAATTTTTTTGTAAAGAGAGAGATGGATGTTAAGCCTTAGAGCTGCTCTGTCCACTATGTTAGTTACTAGCTAGTCTGATTTGAGATATGCTGTAACTATAAAAAGTGTTACCATTCTCACTGATAAATTGTATACTAATTACCTGTTTAAGTGATAATATAGTGAGTTAAAATATACTATTGAAATCAGTTTTGCCCTTTTTTTATGCAGCTACAAGAAAATTTAAAATTACACATGTGACTTGCATTATATGTCTGCTAGATAGAGAGGCTCTAGAGCAGTTTAGAAGGAAACCTCATAGATGGACCAACATGCCTGGAGGCCAGATGGTGCTGCCGAGCCTGGGCCAAGATATTAATTTGGAGCACTGGTTCTCAAAGTTTGGTCCCCAAAACAGCATCATGAGCATCACCCAGGAATTCTTAGGCTCCACCCAAGACTTACTCACTCTGAGGGTAGGCCCAGCAACCTGGGTTTTAACAAGCTCTCCAGGGGATTCTGATGCATCTCAGGTTTGAAAAGCACTAGTTTAAAGCCACAAGGGGAAGAAGCTGAGGCTCATCTATGGTAGGACCAGCCTTAACTCATTGGCTTGGGACTGTTGCAGGTAAATTGAACAGGGCGGCAAGGGCTAGACTGGGAAGAGTAGAACTCACAGGAACTGAGAGACGGGGGGTAAGAGTGGATGATGGCAGCAGAAAAATGCATAAGGGGAAAAAGCTGGTTCCAGAAGGATACAAATACAATATATATGGTATAAAAAACATGCAAAATTATCACTATATATTGATTGTGGATACAAGTATTTTGAGTAAAAAACATGCATATGGGAGATGCTTACAACGGTAGTATGTGCAACAGCATGCATGGGAAAAATAAACACCTCATTTAGGATGATGGTTACCTCTTGGAGAAAGAAAGGGAAGGGGATTTATTGAGGAGGGTTCCACAGTGGGCTTCAACTTAAGAAATGTAATGTTACATATCTTAAGCTGGGTGGTGCATACACAGATGTTAATAGTATTATTCTCTATACCTTTGTGTAGATCTGAGATATTTCCTAATAAAAATGAGAAAAATAAAGAGAGGAAAGGGAGAGAGAATGGGCTTAATCTGTAGACTGTTTAAAGGGGGGGAAAGATGGTCGTATTTGACCAAAGGATCAGAAGGGCCAGGGCTCTTGGGGTTGAAACTAGACAACCTCATTTCTGCATCTAGTTAAGTCTTTCTAAGTGCTCTGGTGGTACTGATACCTTCTCTTATATTCTGTTGGTAGCACATCTCATATTCTAACATATTATTCTTTAATTGAGGTGAAATTTACTTAAAATTAACCATTTAAAAGTGAACAATTCAGTGAAATTCACAATTTTGTGCATCTATCAATTCTTTAGTACCCAATATTTTCATCACCCTCAAACCCTGTTCCTACTAAATAGTCACTCCCCATCTCCCCATTCCCCCAGCCCCTGGCAATCACCAATCTGCTTTCCACCTCTATAAATTTACTTATTCCGGACATATCATAGAAATGAAATCATATCTGACCTTTTGTGTCTGGTGTCTTTCACTTAGCATCATGTTTTCAAGATTCATCCACGTTGTAGCATGAATCAGTACTTCATTCCTTTTTATGGCTGAATAATATTCTATTGTATGCATATCCCTCAAATTTGTTTATCCATTCTTCTGTTGATGGACATTTGTGTTGTTTCTACCTTTTGGCTATTATGAATAGTGCTACTATGAACATTCATGTCCAAGTATTTTTTTGTGCATTATTTATAT